CCCCAAAACCCCAAAACCCCAAAACCCCAAAACCCCAAAGTGAGTTTGAATATTGAAAAGCCTCGTTTCATTTCAATTTTCAATATACACTTGTGGATAGTATTACTCCTCATGAGCTGGCTTCCATTCCTTCCTGATTTTCTTGTGTCTTTCATTTGGATGCTTTGGCTTTCCTTCAAATGGATTGAAGCCTGAATACTTCGTACCAATTCTGAGATGGATTTCTCCCAATTTTGTCTTCTTCTCATTGTGGATAGCAAGCTTCTTCTCAAACTCCATTCTTTCAAGGAACTCTGGGATTTCTGGGATGGCGTCTTTGTAGTGAATGTAATCATCTTCAAGCATCTTCTTCGTGAAATCTTCCGTTTCATCAGCCATCCTTACAATTTCGTACTTTGCTTCTTCACTGTTCTTATTAAGTTCCCAATATTTCCTGATGATATCATGCCTCATTGGCTGGAGTTTGAGGAGTTCTTCTCTGCATCGAATGTATTCAGGTTGCTTCTTCTTCCAATCCTCTGATTTGAGCTCGAAAAAGTCTGGATCTTTCATAAGGGCTTCAAAATCGGCAATTTCGTCTCTAGTCATCTCACTAGGCAACTTGTCGTGCCATTTAGTGAAATCCTCGGTTTGCTGCATATGGACTGGAATATAGACGGTTGGGAGAGTCTCTAGATATCTTGGCCTCCTTCTGGGACCTTTCTTAACTTTATACTGGAATGGGATGTATGGAACCACAAATTTAGGATCCTTTAGTTTCTTTAGCATCAGTTCTTTGAGGTGCATGCCCATTTTGGAATTCATGTCTTTTTCCTTAGTTTTAAGGATGTAGTTATCAAAACTCTTGTACTTTCTGATGATCCTGAATGCATATACTGTGACTGGTAGAACAAGCTCCATTTCAAGAATATCAGAGTAAAATTTCTTTGCAAACACGTTTGGCTTCTGAGTGTATCTGTGCCTCTTATCAGAGAAGCACACCTTAAATTTAGGTCCATGAGTTTTTCCATGATAAAGTCCCTTCTGTGATCTCCTGGAGTGGTTATTATTGTCTGATCTGAATAGGATTTCATTCCTCACTTGATGTCCAAATCTTCCAGAAAACATGGCTCTGCTAAATTGTGTATTCATTGTAGGCATCTTGTACATATTCAACCAGACATTAGGAGTATTAATTCTGCTAGTCATAAAAGTCTTAGCAAGAGAAAATTTCCCTGAAAACCTTGCGAATGCTGAATTCATGATTATTAATGGTCTTCGTAAAATTTATTATATTTTAGCTTGAGATGGGGTTTTGGGGTTTTGGGGTTTTGGGGTTTTGGGG